TGGCGCCGAGACCGTCGGGAACGCCAGCGTGGGTAAGGTCGGGGCGCCTCCCTTCTGCACCCCAAGGGGCCTTTGCATTTCTTGCAAGGTCGAGGTCCACCCCAAGGTCTGTGCGCCCCGCGGCCGAGGCGGCGCGTTCGGAACCGGCAGGAAGGGGTCAGGGTCCTTCGTGCAGAAGGACATTCCCTTTGCGAAGGAGGCGTCCTCACTCCGGCTGTGGAAGTGGGAAGAGATGCGTAACTCTCTTGTTCGCACACATTCCTGTCTCCCTCGGGGAGGGGAGCAGCCATGTTTGTGGGTTTCATTTGACACTTGAAAGCACCTCTTGGCTCCCGAGTGGCGTGGCTGAGCCGCGGGGACCGTCAGGCGTGCAGAACCGAGGGCGCTGCGAGCGACGGCCCCGCGGACCGCGCAGGGTTTTTACTTCCCAGTGGAGATGCTTTTCTAATTGGTGAGCTCGATGGAGTTGACAGGAAAAGCGGACTCAGATCGGGCTTTAGATCGTAGGTCATGTGCTTGGCTGAATGGGTTTTATAAGTAATTCGTGGTTTGTTAACATACACGCTGTGAATAGCACTAACTGTGCCAGGCTGATAATCACGTGCTTTTCCCGTGAGGTTAGGCGCATTCTTAGTTTTGCTTGGAGCGTTAAGACACTACTTACAGTTCTGAAACATAATATTTTCTGAATAATGTGATTGTGCTCCTAAATACTTATCTTTGAAAAGCTCTTGTGCAAACTGAGTTCTAGAATCTTTGCATAGGACTTAAGGCCAGAGCTGAAAAGGGCAAGTTCTATTTTTGCAGGAAAAGAAAAAATAAGCCTTTTTTTTTTTTATGGGGCACTACATTCACTGCAATGCAGAATGTGCCAGGTGCTTTTTCATGGCAGTGTGTTGTTTTTTTGTTTTTAATCCTCACCCGAGGATATTTTTCCACATGACAGGACAACATGTGGGAACTTAACTGCTGAGTGATAATTAAAGCTGATGTGCCCAAGTCGGTTTGGTTCATGAATAGAGCCTCTGCCCATGGACTGAAGGGTCCCGGGTTGGATTCTAGCCAAGGGCATGTACTAAGGTTGCAGGCTCAATCCCTGGCTCTGGTTGGGGCACCTGTGGGAGGCAGTCAATCTATGTGTCTCTCTTACATTGATGTTTCTCTCTCTGTCTCCCCCCCTCCCTTCCACGCTCTCTAAAATTCAATGGGAAAACATCTATGGGTAAACATTAATAAAACTAAAGCAAGCTGATGTTCTCCACATCAGTCAGATAGAAATGAACAAAGACTGCCCTAACCGGTTTGGCAGAGTGTCCGCTTTCGGACTCAAGGGTCCCAGGTTCGATTTCGGTCAAGGGCTTGTACCTTGGCTGCGGGAACATCCCCAGGAGGGGGCGTGCAGGAGGCAGCTGATCGATCTATCCCTCTCCCTTCCGCTCTGTAAAAATTCAATAAAATATTAAAAAAAAAATTAGCGAAGACTTAGTTCAAGACTTGCAGTCTCCTCGTTTGTTTCGATTTGAGGACTCTGATAACTAGACAAACTGAAGGAATTAAGCAACTGCTGTAATTTAGGAGGATTTACCCATCTTTCCCAGGAAAAGCTAACTTGCACCACAGGGGTAGTGGCTCAAAAGCCAAATAAATCTTTGAAGGTGGCAGATCAAGTTTCTAGAATGAGGAAGGTGCTTTCTGTGGCCAGCAGGGCACAAGAGGTGCACCACACGTTTAAACAGTGTTCCCTTGTCTCGAAGTTCCAGTTCTCTGCTGCCTTTAATGTCTTTTGTTATTGTTTGTTTCACATCCATTAACTTACATAGAATTACATAGTAATTGGAGGTGAGCACAATGTCTTTTGAACTTCCTAATATTTGTGCTAATGATAATGCCATAAGTAAGGTAGCAGGCCATTTTTGTAGTTAGTTGCAAGTGGTCTCTTTCTCTTGAAAGGGTGTGAAAGATGCCCTGGCTGGTGTGCCTCAGTTGGTTAAGCATATCCCATGCATCGAGAGGTCACAGGGTTGCAGGCTTGATCCCCAGTAGGAGGCGTGCAGCAGGCAACCAATCAATGTTCCTCCCTCTTCCCCTTCCTCTCTTTCTAAAAAAATCAATAAAAACATATTTTTTTTTAAAAAAAGTATGTGAAGAGTAATATGCACATTTTGTGTTTCCTTTCAGCTTTTAGTGCTAATGAAAACACATAAGACATAAATGAGAAATTGGGCTCCGCCGACATGGCTCAGTGGTTGAGCTTTGACCTATGAACCAGGAGGTCATGGTTTGATTCCCGGTCAGGGTACATGCCTGGGTTGTGGGCTTGATCCCCAGTGTAGGGCATGCAGGAGGCAGCCCATCAATGATTCTTTCTCATCATTGATGTTTCTCTCTGTCCTTCTCACTTCCTCTCTAAAATCAATAAATATATTTTAAAAAATAATAAATAAATAAATGAGAAATTGGGAGAGGCTGTTGCATGTTGACCAGTTCAAGTAGCTAAATTAACTGCTTTTGTTTTTAATATTTAATCTGAAGAGAATTATGAAGACAGCTTTCACAAATCTCTCCTAGAATTTGGTTGTTGTATGAAAACACAAACAATGCTTTCATTTTAGTAAAACACAGGTCAATTTTAGTAAAATAGTAAAAAGGAAGAGTTGAACAATTTTAAGTTTGCAAGTTTAGGATTTGATTGGGAAAGAAAAGGGATTGGGTAGCTCTTGGTGGAATAGAATTCTTGGAAAGAAAAAGTGACTGTGTAGGAATGAGGAGTAGGAAAAATAGAAAAGAGTCCCCTATTATATGGGTCAGATGGGAAAAAAAATATTTTTGGCAGAAAAAACAGGCACTTCTTTTTAGAGGCGAGCTACAGACAGCATAAGGCTCTGTCTCCATGTTGGCCATGTGCTCTGTAATATCACTTGATGTACTGTTTCCCTCCCACACCCAAAGTCATAAGATCTAATTATGCCTCGTAAAATGTTTCTCACGAATCCCTTCCCAGATGGCTTAGAGGTGAATTAAGTTCCTGTTAACTTCTTCGGGATATATTTTGGTTATATGCCTTTATTTGCCATGTGTGCTTTTATGAGTAGAAGTTAAATGCAGATTCTGCTAGACTGTACTGTTCAAGTTGTCTTGGTTTTCAGGATTTTTCCTTGTCACTTTAAGGAAGTCTCCTTCTCACCTTGATGTTTTTGATGGGTGTGCCAAACATTTAAACCTGTTAGTCCTCTTCTTCCCACCCCTTTATTTGTAGGACCTTACTGAATGCCTGGCGTAAAAAAATTAAATAAGATGAGCCTCTGAAACACTGGAAAGCCAATGGAAGTTAATCATGATACTTTATTGTGTAGTATTGGACTGTTTACAAAACTTTCCCCATTTATTTGAGAATTTCAGCAGCCAAGTGATTTATGTAGCACAGTTACCTCCATTTTACCATGAGGGAACTGAGGCCCTGAAAAAAGAAATTACTTCCCTGAGGTGACAAATTTGAATTGTCATTTACTAAACAGTTACTATGTGCCAACTAGGTGACCACTACTGTACTAGGCGTTGGAATGTCAAACATGACAAAGCCCTGTATAGCCAGGAGTCATACCATAACTGATTTTGTTAATACGCAATCTTCTGTAAAAATTGTGAAATGGCTATCAGACTGCAGGGGTAACACTGCCAAAGGATTTTCACACAGAAGTTAGGTCAACGATAACTAAGAATAGGGAAAATATACTTATCCTGCCCTAACTCATCTAACATTGAGTTAGGAGTTCTCAAACCTGGCTGACCATTAGAAATCAGCTGGAAAACTTTATTTAAAAAGGCATATTGGTGAAGAGTCAACTAGAAGTTGAAATTTAAAAGAAAAAGTAAATTAACAATAGTATCAAGAAACATGAAATATTTAGGGATAATTATAATGGGATATGTGAAGACCATTACAGAGAAAACTATACAACAATCTTTTTTTTTAAAGTATGTTTTTATTGATTTTAGGGAGACAGGAAGGGAGAGGGATAGAGAGATAGAAGCATCATCAATGAGAGAGAAATGTACCTTGGCTGCCTCCTGCGTGGCCTCTACTGGGGATGGAGCCTGCAACCTGAGCATGTGCCCTGACCGGGAATCCTTATGGTGCTCCTGTTTTATAAATTTCAGATGAAGAGTTGAGGTAGAAGCTGTGTTTTGAGTGCCATTAAGGTTTCTTTCTGAAAAGAATACCTCACTATCACTGTAGAAATTTTATAAACAATGAAATGTGTAAAGAAAAGAGAAATCACTTAAAATATATTCCCAGGGATACCTATGTTTATCACCCCTACTTATTTTTTCAGGTTACTAGTTGTTTAATAATGTAATTTAATTTCTTTGGTCCTATCTTTCCTTACTCTCTTTTAAAGCAATGAACGCTTCAGTTCTCCAAGTATTTCTTATTTGTGATTTATCTTCACCCTGTTTTACCTATTTAGTGGATTAGTTGAGAATTAGCTTGGACAAAGAAAGAACTGGTGTGCAGCTAGGAGAAAGATACACAGAGAACCATGGGTAGAGTGAGTGAGTTAATAAACACAACCAGAAATGGATGGGAAAGGCCTAGATGAGGTGTTGGAAAACTGTTGTTACAACCTGTCTTTTATGTGGACTCTGAACTTGGTCCTTAAAAAAAAGCTCATTTTTCCAGAATACCCATGGTTCATAAAGTAAGTATCTGAGGTGGGCGTTCAAATGACGTTTTTGCCAGTGCTGATGGCACCTTCTTTTGCAAGCTAGGTAATACAGTCCTATTTGACAGATGAAGAAGTTGAGGTTTAAGAGAATTGAGAGCCCTAACTGGTTTGGCTCAGTGGATAGAGCGTCGGCCTTCGGACTCAAGGGTCCCAGGTTCGATTCCGGTCAAGGGCATGTACCTTGGTTGTTGGCACATACCCAGTAGGGAGTGTGCAGGAGGCAGCTGAATCGATGTTTCTAACTCTCTATCCCTCTCCCTTCCTCTCTGTAAAAAAATCAATAAAATATATTTTTAAAAAAAGAGAGAGAATTGAGAAACTTGCCTAAGATCACACAGCTCGTACATGGTGGGATAAAATTGTAGCCACCTCTGTGTCTCCAGGGTGACTTCAGAATTCTTAGTTCCTACTGTTCTTTAATACCACTGCATTCACAGTTGTCAGTAGCTCCTTAGGGTTGTTAATTCTTAAATTCAGGGGCTCTGTTCAGAATAGAATTGTTATGGTTGCTACCAGATGGGGTTTTTTTCTGGGCTCTGGGAGCCAGGCACCTTGAGCATCCTCAGCCACTTTAAGAATTTTTCTCATCTTTTGAAATACCTTTTTCCCATTTTAGTTCTTAGTTCTGCCACTCACTAGCCAAGTCACCCTGGTGAGCTGCTTCACCTCTTTAAGCTTAATTCTCATCAGTGAAATAGGGGCAGTAATAAAATTTATCAACCAGTTTTTCTTTCTGAGGATTAAATCTGTGTCTATGTTTATATATGTGATTTCTACAAACTGATATTAGAGGTTCGTATATTATAATGAAACGTTTCTCTTGTTGTAGGTCTTATTGAATTTTCTGTGGGGAAATTTAGATACTTCAAGCTCAACAGACCCTTTCCAGAGGAAGCTATTTTGCGTAATATTTCCAGCAATGTGACTTTTCTTATTTTCCAAATACACTCACTGTATCAGAATACAACCATTTCTTTTTCTAAGGTAAGTACAAAGGATTATTTCTGTAAAAACTGTTTCTGCAGTTTGTGTCCTTATATTTAGCAAAAGCATCAGAATTATTGGATGCCTCTTTATGTTTAACTTTATGTCTTAAACTTTTTTTAAAAAAATCAAAGTTGGTTTCTGTCAAATTAGTGGTTTAGAGCAGCTAAGAGGTGAATGTTTCAGGCCTTCCTTGAATGTGGTGACCTCTGACTTAATGAGGAGGTGATAGAGTGCTGAGTTAGGGGGAAGGGTAAGCTATGCCAGTGTTTCCTGTCTGAATGTAGTTAAAGCTTTCCTCATGATTTCCCACTTTTTTTCCCCCTTACTCTCCTGGGTCCTTGATGATTTTTACCTGTGAATACATTTTAATGGGTTTCCATTTCTGTTTAGCCATTTAATGTGGTGTTGAATATGACTAAGATATATATGTTTAATAAGACCCTGTAGGATCAGCTTTATTCTTTGACGCCTCTTGGAAACAAAAATATCCTAACACTGAGTTAATCTTCTAGCAGCATTCAGAACTCTTGCAGAAATCATCACTAAACCCTTTAACCTCAGCCTCAGCTTTGGGAAGTTCTTCAAATGCCCTGGCTTAGCCTAAGCTATTAAGGACCTGCCATTATGTTAACCTTTTACAAATCTATTTCTATTTAGCCTATATGACTCTTTAGACAAATAAATTCCACTATGTATGTTGTGTTTTCTGTTTGTCCTAAGCCTATATTCTAATACCCTAGATTTTGTGAAACAAAGCTCTTTTAGTCCAGTTCATATATATTTTATAGGCATTGGTCATGTAATCTCTCAAATGAAGTCTTTTGTATATTTCTATCCTGACATCCTGCTTCTGTCATGAAGGTTTTGAAGTTACATGCCTGTGTGGGGTAGTTTAATCGACTAGAAATGGAAGAGTTTAATCATGGAAAACAAGAAGGAATACATTGTTAATTGCAAGAGATGACAGTGCCTGTGACCCATTTATGCTGACTTTGCTTTAGTTCATGGCAGCCAGAGCAAAAATCAAATCATGTTAAATTTCCTAACTTCCTTAGGAGGAAGAACATGCCAGTTACTCAGAAGAAGCCAAGTTTTTTTTTCTGGCACTGTATTCAAAAGGAATCTCCCTATTCAGGCCCTTACATAGGAGACATAGTAAAATGGCACATGTATAATTTCCTTCTTAATAACATTACTACACAGACAACATTTGAAGGAAGAGAGAGGGCAGAGAAGAAAAAGGCATTTATATTCACTGCATGCCTACTGTGTGCTAGGCTGGTAGTCTTAGCTCCTGGGGCCATAGACTGTGAATCTGCTGAAATTGATGGACTCTCTACCCGGCAGAACGTGTAGATACATATGCGTGATTTCATGGGGACTTCGGGAAACTTTCTGGGCCTCTGGGGCTCCTAGTTAGGAACCCCTGTGCCTGGTTTTCCATATAATTAATTTAATTCTCACAACAGCTCAACAAAGTAGTTACAGTGCCTGTTTTTACCTCTGAGGAAACAGAGCTCGGATAAAGGGAAGTGGCCCGAATGAACAACATATGCCAGTCACAGTCCTCCAACTCAGTTCCCTGCAGGAAGGATCTTCGTTGTCTTTAATTATAACAATGTCCCTTCACGGTGCTGCCTTTAGTTCTCACCGTGTCTGTACTACTGAGAGGATGACCAGACTGCATGTAGCTCTGGAAGTGAGAGGTCTGTGGGGAGAGGATTGTTTCTGTGTCCTCTGCCCTTCCCGACGAAGTGTAGCACTCAAGATTTTTAGGCTCATCATGGCAGCTGGTTCTTTGAAATTGTCGATTCTGTAGTTTGTCAATTAGTATTTGGGTCATTCTCCCTTATGATTGTCAAATTGAAGCCTACCTATCACTTACAGAAAAATCAACCTGCCCGTCAGTCTGCAGTTATGGAAAAACCTGTCAAGGAAACCTAACATATGCCAATCACAGTCCTCCCACTCGGTTTCAGCTAGCTTACATTACCCTGCAAATAGGACTTGCTGGTATCTTAAGAACTTCCCGACCTCCTAGCCCATCCTGCCCTGTTTCTGCATTGCTGTTTCTAACGCTCTATAGAGCTCGCTCTCGCCCCAAATCCCTCAGAAACAATATTCCACAGCATGTCAGGCATGCACTCCCTTAGCCCATGGGTTGTTTTCCCCTGAATAAAGGATATCAAACTTGTGATGAAATTATTTTAGTTTCATCATTCAACAGTAGTGTTAGTACCTGACCTAGTACATCTTAATTTGGGGGATAGAAAAGCTTGGGAATTTTATTTCATCTGATGAAAGATCATGTATTTTAAATAGTTCTGCCATGTGTATGTGTGGGCAAATGCACATAGAGGTGAAAAGAGCCCTTTAATTTTCTAAGGAAGGTCTGTTTTGATTCCGTTCTGTTTGGGGAAGATTTGGAATAGGACATGCATATTAGATCAACTCTGGAATTTTAATATTTTGCTCAACTCCCTATTCACGATGACTCTTTTCTTCCTTATTGCAGACTCTCCTTCCCAGTACCTCGGGAACAGGCACTGACAAAGGACTGGTTTTCATTCTTAGACCAGAGCAGAGTATGTGCTTTTGGTATTTGGAGACTTCAGATGCTGAGCCTGTCCAAAATATGGCCATTCCACTCTCCTACTCAGAAAGAGGTGGTAACCTTTCTGTCTTCGACTTCTACTACTATTATGGGACTTATTCATGAATATTTAGGGAAAACTGTAATCTTATTAAAAGTGTTTATTGTAAGTACAATATATTTAACCAGAAATGTTTTAATAGCAAGAGAGCCAGAGAATTGTCATGATGTTGAAAGTCCTGGAAGGAACTAGGAGAATACATTTATTCATTGGAAAAACATTTAAGGAGTCCTTGGAAAAGCAGTAACAAAAGGGCAAGACACAGTCCTTAACACTTCGGTTGGTTATTCTAGGCAGAGGAGGGCACTGAAGGAAAATGCAGTGTTTGGAGAATGGCATATAGTGGGTGTGGCTGGAGGCAGAGTGTGAGGGTCTTGTATATAATTTGAGGTTTGCATTCTATTCTGAGATCGGTTCTGGGGAAGCATAGAGAGTGTTTAAGCAGAGGAATGATGTGATGCACTTCATCTCTTAGAAAGTTAACTCTAGAAGCAGTGTGGGGAGTGTGTTGGAGAGGTCCATGGCAGCACTAAGGATGTCCAACTGCCACCTTAGGCCCTCTCCCCACAGGGAGCGGGCACAGGCCAGATTGAGGGACCCCCCAGAGTGCAGGAATTTCGTGCACTGGGCCTCTAGTTATTAATAAAATGGAATGCCATAAATGTGTGTTTAATTAAATATTCAAATACCATTCTGATACATGGTCTTGGGGGTCTTTGAGGTCTTTTACTTTTTTTTATGTATACATAAAGACTCTTGCAGAATTGATATGACACCATCTTTCTCCCTATTACTCATGGAGTTCCTTTCCTCTTTGGCAGTGTTTTTTCCCCTCCATCCCTGGGTTCTTATGTTCTTTTTATAGGTTCATAGTCCCCAAAATCTAATAAAGACCCCTTTCCCTAGGAAATGGACACTTTCAACATACAATTTCAGGGTGTTCATGGAGCCCCTAAAACCTATTCTTGGATCCCAGCTTAAGAATCTCTTGTCTCTTCTGACCATTTCAACTCTAGAGCAGAGTTTGACAAACTACAGACTGAGCCAAATCTAGTTCGCTGCCCATTTTGTACATAAAGTCTTATTGGAATGCAGCCATGTTTACTCACTTATGTGTTGTCTGTGACTGCTCTCGTGCCATGAGGGCAGGGTTGAGTAATTGTCACAGAGACCATTCGGCCCTTGAAGCCTAAAATCAGCATTATCTGATCCTTTACAGAAGAGATTTGCTGACCCTTGTTCTAGGGCCCTTAACCTCAGTTAATTTTACCCTCTTAACCTCAGTCATGAGGTGGTACAAAACTAGAAGCTCTGTATTTAACTTATATATGGAAAGTTGTTGAAAGAGTAGAGTTCTGTTTTCTGAGTGTTATTTGAATATATAAAAAATTCTGTGTTGAGTGACTTTCTTATTTTTCATCCAGATCCTATTCCTGGAGGCTGTAATTTGGAGTTTGATTTAGATATTGACCCCAACATTTACTTGGAGTATGATTTCTTTGAAACAACTATCAAATTTGCCCCAGCAAACCTAGGCTATGCAAGGTATGTCTGCCTCCTAGAATTACTTTTAGAACACGTATGACTAGATTCAATGAATTCTCTCAAAAGTCATCATTCTCTTTAGTAAAATGGAATTGTAACTAATACTTGAGCTGCCATTTACAGTTAATATTGCCCCCCTCAGTGTGTATGAAGAGCCAGATGTTGAATGTCTTTTATGAGTGTAGAAGTACATCTTAGTTTTCATAAAGAGTTTTATATATGGAAAGCCTTTTGAAGCCTTGAAATATACTTTTTTTTTTGGTAAGGATTTTATTTTAATTAAAACTCTGCATTAGTTTCTAGTTTAATAATAAGGATAGTTAATGTTTGAGTAACATTTGAATGCTCTCTGTGCATCATCCACAGTGCTGAGTGTCCTATGTTCTTTATCATTTAATTCTAACACTTTTATCAAGAAGGGACAATTGTTCTTATTTTATAAAAAGGTTCCCTAAGGGTCTTTGAGAGTAAGTGACTTGCCTACTTACCAGTACAGCTAACAACTGGCAAAGCTAGCATTTGACTCTAGGCCTGACTGACATTAGCATCTGGTTATATGACCATACTGCCTGTCAGTGTGTTATTTTTCTTCGTAATGCCAACATTGGAATCATTGTTTCAGAAGTTTGAAATTTGAGCTTTTGGTTCCTTTTTATAGATGGGACTTCCCCCACAAGAGATTGATGTTCGGTTTTGTTGGTTGACTTTAGAGGCACAGATTCTCCGCCATGTGACACGAGGACGGGGCAGGATTCTAGGTGGAGGTTGCAGTATGATGTCTATCAGTATTTTCTGCCCGAGAATGACCTCACTGAAGAGGGGTTGCTGAAGCATCTGCAGAGGATGGCCGAAGTGCCTCAGGTGACGGCCAATGCTATTAAGGTAAATCTGATTCTTGTGCTTTGAGTAGCCAGATTGCGACACCTTCCTAGGAGTTGAGTAGAGGAGAACCTACCAGGAACTTATTTCTTTACTGTTTCCTTGGTCTTTCTGAGATTTGCACTTTATTCTCTTTTGTTTCTTTATTATCTTGGGAGTCTTTGCAAGTGATATCTCAAAGTAATGTTGGCCTTTAAAGAGATGCATGTAAATTATGTTACATTTTAGTTGCAGCCACATATATGACCTGGTAATCTCGAGATGTGGATGGAAGTGGGTGGTGATTTTCTATGTACTCCTATACCTATTAGATTAAAACTTTTGGCAAATACAAAGGTTATAGTGCTGTGAGAAACTGTTTAAGGATATACTCATTGGCATTAATATTTAAACCCAAACTCCAAATCTCTTACTTGGAGAAAAATTTTCTCTGAGCTGTTGCCAGAAGTTGAGAGATTACCAGATTATATAGAAAGAGGTGATGGAAACAGGGCATATGTGGTTAGCCTAGAGCAGCGGTTCTCAACCTGTGGGTCGTGACCACTTTGGCGGTCGAACGACCCTTTCACAGGGGTCGCCTAAGACCATCCTGCATTTCAGATATTTACATTACAATTCATAACAGTAGCAACATTACAATTATGAAGTAGCAACGAAAATAATTTTATGTTTGGGGTCACAACATGAGGAACTGCATTTAAAGGGCCAGAAGGTTGAGAACCACTGGCCTAGAGGCTCAGTCTGTTATAGAGCAAGATCTCAATTTGTTGCTCTGTCACCTAGGATGTCATTGCCCCATGCTAAGAGGGAGCACAAGAAAACTCATTGTGGTTATTCACAAATTAGGAAGCTCTATGGGAAAAGTTTATTTAAAACTAGAGGCCCGGGGCACAAAAAATTGTGGACTCGGGGGG